GAGTCTTTGCAACTTTACAGATCTTCTTTATGCACCAAGAGCTTGTAACACTCCAAAGAGAAAAGAAAAATTTTAATCGCATCATATGACCCCTTTAAAGGACTTTTTTTTTTTCTTAACACAAATTTTGACTGATACGTCACTGATCCATGTAAAAGAATAAAAAAAAAAAAAAAAAAAAAAAAAAAAACAATTAATTTATAGCCTATTAATTGTCACATTTCATATTATTTGCATGTAGACTATACATTCATTCAATAGTCCTATATGATTTACTATTGACTTGTTAATTACAAATGAAATACCATCTTAGCAAAATCAGTGCAGGGCTGGATGCACACTTAGTCAGATGTGAGTTGGTCGTGTCACGTGGGAGAGATACATATGTATCAGAAGCACGATATCACGTGACAGCACCACGCCATACTAGATACTAGATCTGCACGCGCTCTGGATCTGATCTTCAGCAGAGAGACAAGCGCAGGGCTCGAGTGTCCCAGACTCACCTTGTGTTTGCCAGTGTTTACACTGGAGCTCCGCGAACTGTTGTAGGAGAGAAACCGCGGAAGAGAGAGAGAGAGAGAGAGAGAGATCAGCCATGGCAAATATCGCTGTGCAGAGGATCAAGCGAGAGTTCAAAGAAGTGCTGAAAAGCGAAGAGGTTTGCAAAACGTTACTTTGCTGTGTTTTTGTGCCCGTCGAGAGCAAACAAGAGGACTTATGAGACAAACATCCAGAAGCCGATCAGCTAGCTTAGCCCGCTAAGCTAATGTTAGCACGAGCTGTCATATGATGGCCTGTAGACGGAAGTCATACATCTGACAAATGTGCTTTCTTTAATGTTTTGAGACGAAATCCTTGACCGAAATGTGAAAACCATTTAAGATTTTTGACTTGCACTCGCCGTTCTTTAGCCGGGAAGCTAACTTGCTATTTGACATAGCTAGCTTCACTAGCGCTTCTTTATTGTGTTGTTATAATATTAGCACTCGTGTTTGTCGCCTATTAACGTATGTTTCTTTTTTAAACAGTGGTGTACCTGTCGTGTTTGATGTGTTAGTGTCAGTTAAAGTAGGCTGTTTAAGTAGTTTTCAGTAGTGTGGATGTTTCAAAACCTATTGAGCTGCCTACCTAGACATGTTCAGCACCTTTCATGCTGTCTACCTATAGGCTGCTCATTGTCTCACGATTTAACTGGTCACTTCTTTGTTCTGGGCAGCTGAAGAAACCACAACGTTTCTTGCTTTTGTCCTGATCCCAGTTATATCACATGCATAAAAGCTAACTGGGCTAATAATCTCCCCCCCACCTGTTTTATAACAGACAAGTAAAAATCAAATAAAAGTAGATCTGGTGGATGAAAACTTCACAGAGTTAAAGGGAGAAATAGCAGGACCACCAGACACGCCGTATGAAGGTAGTGAGGATATTTTCATCAGTATTCTCTATTGTTGACATAATGTTTGCTAATGCATGAATGCTGTGGTTTAGATTGTGATTCACAAGCTTTTTTTATCCCCCACAGGCGGCAGATACCAGCTAGAAATCAAGATTCCCGAGACGTATCCTTTTAACCCACCCAAGGTAACCCGTTTTTAGTGTTTGATGTTTTATTATTATTATTATCAGTTCTCGTGGTTAATATTTAAAGTCAAATGAACCTGGGGTGCGTTCCCCAAAAGCATCATTAGCTACCTATGGTCATAAGTTCCCTTGAACTCTATTCATAACCATAGAAACGCACCTCTGATGTATTTCTAAATAAAACAGGATTTTCAATAAGAAAGCTTGATTAATGGCTATCATGAGTTGTTAATAGTGGCTCTTGCTTAGAGTAATGCAACCAGTTGCTCAAAGAGGCACAACCATGTTAAGTAAACCTCAAGAACTTACACTTACTAAATTGTCAGTGTGTTCTTATGCACCATTTGAAAGTTGTAGAGAATTGAAAAATGAACATTTTTTTCATTTTTGTGGAAACTGCAATACATTCTTTTTCAGGATTCTCTGATGAATAATACGTTTAAAATAACAGCATAGAAATTTCTGTAACAATGTAAATGTGACCCTGGACCACAAAACCAGTCATAAGGGTAAATTTTTTGAAATTGAGATTTATACATCATATGAAATCTGAATAAATAATCTTTCCATTGATGTATGGTTTGTTAGGATAGGACAATATTTGGCTGAGATACAACTATTTGAAAATCTGGAATCTGAGGGTGCAAAAAAATCAAAATATTGAGAAAATCATCTTTAAAGTTGTCCAAATGAAGTTCTTAGCAATGCATATTACTAATCAAAAATTAAGTTTTGATATATTTACGGTAGGAGATTTACAAAATATCTTCATGGAACATGATCTTTACTTAATATCCTAATGATTTTTGGCATAAAAGAAACATCAATAATTTTGACCCATACAATGTATTGTTGGCTATTGCTACAAATATACCCCAGCGACTTAAGACTGCTTTTGTGCTCTAGGGTCACATATTTGTTTCATACAAGAGTTTAATTTCATTTTAATTAAACTCTCCCCAACTCCCCCTCAATTCAAGCTCTGTGTGCGCTGATAAATCATGTGCAATAAAGCAAATACGATCAATTATGATTTAATGTTGACTTGATTTGAAAGATCAAAATCTTTTTCAGGTGCGGTTTATTACTAAGATCTGGCATCCCAATATAAGTTCAGTTACCGGGGCGATATGTTTGGACATTTTAAAAGACCAGTGGGCTCCAGGGTCACATATTTGTTTCATACAAGAGTTTAATTTAATTTTAATTAAACTCTCCCCAACTCCCCCTCAATTCAAGCTCTATGTGCGCTAATAAATCATGTGCAATAAAGCAAATACGATCAATTATGATTTAATGTTGACTTGATTTGAAAGATCAAAATCTTTTTCAGGTGCGGTTTATTACTAAGATCTGGCATCCCAATATAAGTTCAGTTACCGGGGCGATATGTTTGGACATTTTAAAAGACCAGTGGTGAGTGCTGATAATTAACGAGCATGACAAGTGTAGTCTGTTGTCATCAAGCAAAGAACGCATTTCTTTGGCCATATGCTGTTCTTGTATGTGTTCCCTTTCTTAATTTCCTCCTTATTCCATCTTCACCTCCTGTGCACAGGGCCGCTGCTATGACTCTGCGAACAGTTCTGCTCTCACTACAGGCTCTTTTAGCTGCAGCAGAGCCAGATGATCCTCAAGATGCTGTGGTAGCCAATCAGGTACACGCTTCTGTCTGAATGAGAACATGCCAGAAACAAAGCATCGCCACACTTTCAGTCACTGTTGTTGTTGTTCTTTGCAGTACAAGCAGAATCCAGAAATGTTCAAACAAACCGCTCGTCTCTGGTCTCACGTTTACGCTGGTGCACCCGTGTCCAGTCCTGAGTACACGCGCAAAATAGACAAACTCTGTGCTATGGGCTTTGACAAAGTAAGTAGTGAAAGTGGACGGCTGATCGTATGGTTAAAAATCCAGATGCAGGGGTTGGCAACCTTAGGGACGCCTTCAGCACATTACCTGAACACTGTGAGGTGTTAAGCTTGTCGTATGTGATCCTTAATGTTCTGTACAATGACGGTGGCTTGTGAATAGCAAATGTTATCAGCCACTTTTGTTTTTTCAATTCAAATGCATGAAATCTATTCAATAGCTGTAATATCAATGCATTGTCATGCCATTAAAAACAACTCAAAAACAAGAAATTCTAAACTGTTGAAAATGTAGGGCGTGAACTTGGTTCAGATCTGAAAGCGAGCTTGCATTCGGTTTTCTTTTGTCTGTTTTCAAATGACTCTAAAATCTAAATCAATTGATACTTTAGTCATTTTGTGTCTTTTTTGTTTACAAACCAACACATTTTTGTTTAAGGGTAATCAGATGTCGTACAGGTCGCCTGCCACTGTGGCAAAATTACCAGCCACTTCCCAAAAGCAACAGCATTTGACTGATGGTGGGTGTTCATTTTTCACCCTGGTGCAAGATGCATTTTTAGGTCATCACCACATGACATCAAAGTTGTAAACTAGTACACCTATTATACATTACAAAAAATCAAATAAAAATGACACTTCATGTCAAAAAGGTTGCCGACCCTTAGACTAGTGTCCGTAAGACAGTCATTTACTCACTCATGTATTACACAATGAAATGGAAACCATATATTTAGGTAAATGTTTTCACATTGTTATTCACATTAGAAAATACGCGACAGTTCAGAAGTTTGGGGTTGGTAAGATGTTCGTAAAAGAAGTCTCTTCTACTCACCGAGGCTGCATTTTTTTCATCAAAAATAGTTAAAACGGTAATAGTGAAAAATTATTACAATTTAAAATAACTTAAATTTTCAGTTGCAGCCTTCATGATCTTTTAGATATCATTCTAATATGCTGATCTGCTGCTCAAATAACTTGTCTCGGTATTGAAAACTATTTTTGTGGGAACTTCAGGATTCTTTCATGAATAGGAATTAAAATGAACAGCGTTTGTTTGATATAAAAATCCTTTGTAACATAATCGATGCATTTACAGTCAATTTAATGCATCATTGCAGAATTAAAATGTATTTGTTCCTTGAAAAAGAAAAAAAAAAAGACTGACCCCAAACCTTTGAACGGTAGTACATGTCGACAGAAAATATGCAAAATACTATTTTGTAGGCACTATTGGAAAGAGTGAAATTTGGCGTTTATTATTTGATGCAGTTTAGTTGATTTGTGGAGTAGAACTTTGTGCTGATTAACGCTGTATTGAATGAGCAAAAGACGGCTGTTATTCAACAGTTTTCAGTGTGATATTGTTCAGTGAACTGTTCGTGTCATCTTTACTGTTGTTTAGAAATGTTCCATTCTGTCTTTGTCTCTCTCTCACAGAATGCAGTAATAGTAGCCTTGTCCTCAAAATCATGGGACGTGGAGACAGCGACAGAGCTGCTACTAAGCAACTGATCATCCAGTTCTCTTTATCAGGCCATGCTTTCCTCAAACCCTCCTGCTTCATGACCCATCGCTCCCACACATGCATCACCCGTCTCGGTTTGTGTTCATAATGAATGTTTGAGGAAGAGGCAGCACTGAATCATCTTCTGTCTGTCTTAGCAAATCTTCACGTCCCCCGTCTTGTCTTTTTTCCCCCATCATTTTCACTTACATTTTTTTTTTTTTGCCTTGCTAGAATAATTTTCCCTCTTAAATTTAGGCTGTCACTTACTTTTTAAAGAAACCCAACAAAGACGACGCCTCTATCATTTCATGCTAAAAAACAAAACAAAACACCTGCGTCTGTGAAACAATGTCAGTATATGTGAGTAGAACTTTGTGCTGATTAACGCTGTATTGAATGAGCAAAAGACGGCTGTTATTCAAGTTTTCAGTGTGATATTGTTCAGTGAACTGTTCGTGTCATCTTTACTGTTGTTTAGAAATGTTCCATTCTGTCTTTGTCTCTCTCTCACAGAATGCAGTAATAGTAGCCTTGTCCTCAAAATCATGGGACGTGGAGACAGCGACAGAGCTGCTACTAAGCAACTGATCATCCAGTTCTCTTTATCAGGCCATGCTTTCCTCAAACCCTCCTGCTTCATGACCCATCGCTCCCACACATGCATCACCCGTCTCGGTTTGTGTTCAGAATGAATGTTTGGGGAAGAGGCAGCACTGAATCATCTTCTGTCTGTCTTAGCAAATCTTCACGTCCCCCGTCTTGTCTTTTTTCCCCCATCATTTTCACTTACATTTTTTTTTTTTTGCCTTGCTAGAATAATTTTCCCTCTTAAATTTAGGCTGTCACTTACTTTTTAAAGAAACCCAACAAAGACGACGCCTCTATCATTTCATGCTAAAAAACAAAACAAAACACCTGCGTCTGTGAAACAATGTCAGTATATGTAAATTAGTATATTTAAGGTTGTGTACATTTAAAAAGCAAAATAGCAGGAATGTTATTTTTTTCTGTACACCATAAAAATACGTTTTGGGATGTATATTTGAATGGGATATTTAGCATATAAAAACAAAAATCTGAGATTAATAATACCCCCTTCTATTTGATGCTCTCTTACAATGAACAAATATGTTTTTATTTGCTCATTTGATTATTTTAAGGTTTCTTTCGGCTTTCCTTTGCACTAATCTGTCTGTGTAGTAGTTGATATGGCCAGATGACATGGTGTTATGTTGTGAGCGCAGACACAGTTTCAAACTTACTGGGTGAAGTGCTATATATATATTTTTTTTAACAAAAGGAAGATTGCCGTTTCTCACTTTTCCCTCTTTTTGAAAAGTGGGACGGTGTGGGATTGATGGTCACAAACCCTTTCTTTTTCTTTTCAAGGCAGCTGTAAGGTTTGCAACTTGATAATGGACCGATACACCTCGAGTTGCCTCATCTTTTTGTTTTTTGAAGAATGTATTGTATGAAACCACTTGCATTTAAGTGTAAACATTTTGTACATTTACAGATGAGAAAGTGAAGACATGAGAGTCTCTGTTCTCTTATAACGATTGGCTTTTTTGTGGAACAATCAATACGGTTCAGTTTGGCATTGGTGCAGAAGTTTAAAAGGGTCTCCGAGTGTGAGGTGGGCTGCGTTTCTTATCATACCAAAATTGTATTCAGATTTCCATTCACAGGATACAGATATAAATACGTATTTCCCACATAACCAATGTTGGAAGCATGAATCAAACAGAGTTTTTTTAGTCTACAACGATGCTTCAGAGCAAACAGGCCCAGCACGAGTACTGCCACACAATGCTTTGTGAGCCTGTTTTTACCTAGTGTTCTCTTCTTTTCTTACATGGGTGAATTGTTAAAAGTGTCTATTCTCCCTTTGCTAGCATTCCCATATAGAATCGGTTTTCAAAATGCCCTCACGTTCACAGCTAGTTGCTTTCGAACACCACCTTCCTCGTGTACATACAGCCAAGTTTTTTGGGGGGATAAAGTACTGTTCATCTCTAGAATGCACCATCGATGGCTGGATTTATATTTTGTATGAAAATCAAAAATGAAACAAAAAACAAGAAGTCTGTCTTCCTGTAGTGATCACCTTGTTCAATATATTGCACGAAGAAGTGAATTAAAGGACAAAAACTTCTGTCAAAGGAGAAATGCAGGTCACGGGCTCTGGCTTTAGTCACTTTAAGCTTCTTTACAAAACACAAAAGAAAAAAACCTACTCGAGCCGTACAAGCATGGTTATTTATTGTGAAACTCATTCTTTTGAATTAAAAAAAGTGAAAAATGTAAACTTGTGTTATCCGTGAATCTCTGTTCTGCCGCTGGTGTTATGATGTTAATGATGTTAATCACTTGGGGAAAAAAATGAAATCGAACAGCTTTTTCTATTTAAATGTGAAGCAATTTGAACATTTATAACTCAATGTTTCTCAATATAAAAAACTGATCCTAACACAAATTCCACGTAGCAAATACAGGGAGTCCCTTGTAAAAGTGTGAGGAACTCATGCTCATCCACTCAACAGAATAAATAGAATTACTAATCATAGAGTCTTGTAGTCTTGGCACTTTATAGAGTTAAACTAATTGAATACAGGACATGAGCCTCAATGAATCCTTGCAACCAAAGAAATCTGAGGACAATATTTCAATTTAATAAAGGATTAAAAGAAGAGAGGGAGTTAAAACAGTAAAAAAATCTTTCCAGGTATTTAATAAGCAACCTAAGGGTAGATTAAAACAGATTTTTTTACTTTCAAATGTTTGTTTTTAAAAATGGCTTTCGGACAGAAAGGCAACGAGAACAATTTCAACACAAAAGAAAAAACGAATGAAGAGAAACAGGTCTGTGTTTCTACATACAAGTTTGAACATCTGAATCTAAAGAATCCTCGTTTGTCTTGAGGTGTGAGCTAATGACAGTTCAGGTTCATGAAGAGCGTTTGATGTGGAAGTGGATGCGTCTCAATCCTTTACTGCCTGACCGTCCTCGTCTTCACGCACCGACGCTTTACCTGAAACCAGAAGACAATATATAAATCAATCAATCTACATTATAGAGAGTGAGACCAGGTCTGGTGGAATTCTGCAGTAAATTATTCTCGAGAAAAATGTGGAAAGATCAAACACGACACCTTGAAAAAAAAAAATAATAAAATCGTTAGTTTTTAACCTAAATGTCATTCCAAACCAGTGTACCATTTTTATTTTTACATTTGACAATTTTTTTCTGTGAAGCATAAAAGGTGAAATTGAGAAAAAATGGGGTCAGTAGGATTCAAATAAATTAAGCAAATATCAGCAACAGCAAGGATGCAATAAATAGATCAAAAGTGACAAGAACAAAAGATTTCCATTTCAATTGTATCATGGTTTATTATTAAAATGTTTTAATCAGCACAACCAGTGACAAATGTTTTTTGAGCACTGAATCATTCTAGAATGATTTCTGAAGGATCATGTGACACTGAAGACTGGTGAAAACTCAGCTTGGCCATCACAGGAATAAATTACATTTTAAAACATTAAAATAGAATACAGTTCCTATAAATCGTAAAAGGGCCGTCAATCAATTACAATTTTTAATCTTATTATCTAATTTTATTGCTCTCGCTGCTCGTATGACATTAACTACATCATTTGATATAAATATGAGACAAAAACTCATACGGGCATTTTTTGCCCCAATATCTTGAATTTTAGGGGCATTTATGGACTACATTTGTTGACCCTGCAACAGTCAACTGTTTGAAATGTAAGATGACAGACATGTCTGGGGCAGAGCCAGTGCGTTAAAATATTTTAATTAATTAAGTTAACGTGTTAAATTGACAGCCCTAAAAAAAAATCAAAATATTCCTATTTTTCTGTATTTTTGATTTTTACTTTAACTCATACTGAGCATGAGACTCTTAAAACATTTTTTAAAAATCTTACTGACCCCAATTTTTTCTATACAAAATATGTGTCGAGCTTCTTAAAGAATTCTAAAACAACCACCATAAAATTAGTGCAAAAACTATATTTCAAGCCTACTCAGGTCGCTGGATAGCTTTGTGTGAGGAACAGACTGAAGTCAGTGATTCACTGATAAATCACCATATTATTATCAGTGGGTAACGACATGTTTTAGTCTGTTCCTGACAGAAAGCTATCGCATGACATCAGAAGAATATAAAACACAAGTCGAATGGACTATTTTCATGTTGCCGATGTTGTGGAAAACAAGCATATACATTCTTCAAAGTTTCTCCTAGTATTCCATGAAAAACAACAACACAGTTTGGAAGAACATTAAGGTTAAGTGAGTGATTTTCATTTTCAGGTGAACTGTTCCTTTAAGCTAAAAGCTACAACAAATGTTAACTGCTTTAGAGCTGAAGGATACAGCATGAGCTCGCTCTCTCTCAGACACTGCTCTGCTGCATGGGTGGATTCTCTCTGTTTGGGACCTGCTGCACCCCTGAGCCACCTATCAAGGGCTTCTTCTACCTGCTGCTCCCGTAGCTGTGTGAGCCAGAGTACATACTCTGGGCTGGACTCGACTTCTCTGTCTCCCCTTCACTTCCATATGTCTTCCGAGACGCCTGCTGATCTCGCTGTGCTACCCTCACTGATCTTGGACGACAGAAACACCTGCCTCAACTTCACATAAAAGACTTCAATAACAGCTCAAGACGACAAAGTTACGGCCTGTTCACACCGATGCTGGTATGTGGTGTACAAGGTTCTATCAAAAATGATTCCCATTGAGGCAAATTAAATGCAAATGTGAGTCATTCTCTAAAAAAGATTTGCATGCAATAAATGTGAAACGCACTCTGGCCGTTGATGTGCTCAATGAAAAAATAGTTTGACAAAGATGGGTGTGTTTATCATTTACTGGGCCACAAGCAAAATCCATGCAAATTCACATATAATAAAAATGCAATAAATGTCACTCTCCTTGAACGGCAAAAAATAGCAGGATACAGTTATACACCACCGTGTCAAATTCAGGGTCGGTCTCTTCTGCTCACCAAGACTGCATTTATTTAATCAAAAATACAGTAAAAACTGTTAATTGCGGTTTTCTATTTTCATGCATTTTAGAAATATTTCTTTCTATTTAAGAAACATTTAGTGTTCACAATCAAAGTTGTACTGCTTTTTAGTATTAAAGTAGTAAATTGCATTACATTTTTTCAGGAGTCTTTGATTAAAGTTCAAAAGAACAGCATTCATTTGAAACCAAATTTTCATTAGAATTTTTATAGAAATGCAAAAGTCTGTAATGTAATGCATACTTGCTGAATAAAAGCACTAATTTCTTAAAAAAAAAAAACTTTTACTGA